TTCACTCCATTTGGGTTGATATTAGCGATTATCTGCAAAATAAACCTGAAATCGGATTAGGGATATATATGGGAGCTATATCCAAATCTTAGGCGATCTCGATAAAATTTGGCAAACGTATTTCCGACCTCTATAAAATATCTGGTACCAAATATAATTCTTGTGGGGTGCCTATTACTAATGTGAGGGACCTTAACACCAAATCGGATGAAATATATATATATAGCTATATCAGAACCTATTTTCACCAAATTTGATGTGATTCCTTCTAGACTGAATTCGGTCGGATGTGCCAAAATTCAGGTCTTTGGGCTAATATCGGCAATTTGGTCCACAATTAATCCGAAATCGGTTGAAGATATATATGGGAGCTATATCCAAACCTGAACTGATTTTAACGCAATTAGGCAGAAATATTTCTGGGCTGTATCTGATATCTGCTACCAAATATTATTCTTGTGTGATGCATATTACTAATGTGAGGGACCTAAACGCCAAATCGGATGAAACATATATATTGAAGCTATAGCTATATCTGATATCACCAAATTTGATGTACATGGCTGAATTCGGTCAGAAGTGCCACAATTCACTTCATATGTGCTGATGTTAGCCATTTGGTGCACAATAAACCTAAAATCGGATATTGGTATATATGGGAGCTATATTCAAATCTGAACCGATTTTGATCAAGTTTGGCAGATGTACCAAAATGCAGGTCATTTGATTTGATATTGGCCATTTGGTGCACAATTAACCCGAAATCGGTTGAAAGTGGAATAAAAAAAATAATTTTTACTTTTTTTTCAAATTTTGTTGAATGAAAACAAAAAATGTCGGAACAAGCAAAGGTGAATTTTAGAATAAGTTTAGATTTGTTCGAATTGGTCACCTTTGGCACAAATTATGGCCTTCAAACGGTCAATGGAAACGTCCAACGCTGCCCGAATGTTGCTCTGTGGTATTCTGACCCATTCCCGCCAAGCGCTTGCTTGAGGTGATCGACATTTTGGTATCTTTTAGTGCCAAACTTGCTTTCCAAAATGCTCCAGACACAATAGTCCAACGGATTGGTATCCGGAGAAGCGAGGAACCTCATTTTGTAACCATTTTGGGTGGCGCGTGCTGAGTGCGATGGTGCTGAGTCCTGTTTGAATGTCTAAGCTCTGCGGCCAAAATGTTTGAGTGCCCACGGCTTTAATAACCCTCCAGAATATTTTCGCGATAATATTCGGAATTTATTCTGATGCCACGGTAGATTAATACGAGCGGAGAGCGACCATCGGCTGTTATGGCGGACCTCACCATCACCATGGCCGGCGCTTGAGTTCTGGTGGCCAACCGAAGGTGCACATTTTTAGCTGACCTCTTTGGCAAGTAAACCCGATCATTTTGTTTGTTTACAAACTGCTGGGCAACGAATGTTTTCTCACCGGAGAAAACCAAATTCGGCAGTTCACCACTTTCGGCCAAGCGAAGCAACTCTTTAGCTCTTTTGAGTCTATTTTCTCTCTGTTGCGGCAAAAGTTCTTGCACTTTTTGAAATTTCAATGGCTGTATCCTGAGCTCATTTTTCAATATTTGCCGAATGGAATATTGCGAGCCAGATAACGAGCCATTTTTCGGCGCTTCTTACTTTTCGAATCATTTCTGCTGATGTTGCTGTTTTCTTCCGGCTACTTCCTTGACGTCGGGCTACGCTACCAGTATCACGGTAACGAGCTATGGAACCTGACACAAAAGATTTATTCACATTTAAATGCTGGAGTGCTCTAACGATGGCCACTTGTGGTTTTCCAGCCAAATATAAAGAAATCACACTATCACGCTTGAATTCCATCACGAATAACTTTTTTTCTTGAAAATTCTCATCAAAATGCTTTTGTACGCCTGTAAACAATATAATGAGCTGTCACTGTAATAATTTGAACAGCTGTCGGACGAGTGGTTTAGAAATGAGTATGTATGGTGTAGGGTATGAAAATGAACTAAAAGTACCCCTTCGTTGACTCGATTGAGGCTTAACATTTTCGACCATATGTTCTTCTTATTATATGCAATATTGCCTAAAATGCACGGATTCCGAGGAAAATTTCTAATTTCTGCACTTTCTATTTTGGTTACTTTTCGATGCAAGCTTTCAAAACGCCGATACACTGCTGCTAGATTTTACTCCTATTAATTTTTTGTGTTGGACAGTGTTATCTATGTAAATTAACGTTTTTGTATAGTCCACATACATATAACCCTACCATCCACTTTATGGTATTTTCCTGATAGTTTTATTTTGAAGAGTATTTTTTACCTCGGGGCCTTTTTATACCCTACAGCACTTTGGTTGGGGTATTTTTGATTGGGCCAAAAATATTGTAACACCTTGAAATATTGGTTTCCCACATAAGAACGTATATGTGGACCTTCCTATCTCGCCGAGCTGAGTCGATCTAGCTATGTATGTTCGTCCGTCCGTCTGTCCATATTAATTTGTAATCACACTACAGGTTGCAATTATGGCCCGATCTTCACGAAATTGAAAATGGAGGTGGGGTTATGGTCAGAATAGAACCCTATTGTTTTTGGAGATGATCAAACGATATTTTGGGGTTGAAATGAACCAAAAACAGAAAATTTTAATAATTTTGCAATTGCTCTGATAGCCAAGAAATCGGATATATAGCAAAATAGGTACAATATATATGTAAAAGAATAGATCTTATTTATTCTGCTTATAAGTCAAGAACCGCTGGCCCGATTTTCACAATTCCCATTAATTCGAAATGGTCTCTTGCCAGAAACGGATAAACTCTATTTTTCAATTTATGTCATATTTTTCATCGCATGCGATTTTTTCAACTTGGCTTACAATTTTGAATTGTAAATTTTTAAAATTTTTACACCCCGCAACACTACGTTTTGAGAGTATTATATGCATGTCGCAATTAGGGTCAGAATTAAAGCCAATTGTTCTTAAGATGTACGTTTAGGGGTTCAAATGGACTAAAAATTTTAGAAAATTTTCTAATTTTGTAAACTAAACTAATTTCAAAATCGAAATCTTCCAAAATGGATTTGGACATAAGGGGCTTCGAAGGGGCTTTGTAGGTCCTTATCAAGCTAAAACAAGACCTTTTAAGATTATGTCAGGAATTTGGCGCGTACTTGATATTCCGAATATTTCTGGCAGTCTCAATTATTATATGTGTTCTTAACATAATTCAATGATTGACAAACATGTGCTCTTATCAACATCTGACTCTGCCAACTAATTCTTCTCTTTACAAAGTTGCTATCTACAACTAATTTGTTAAATAACAAATAAATAACAAAAAACATTAATTGCGTAATTAACGCATACACCTTGCGACTATTCCATACAAAAACAAATCTCAGTTAGAACCTTTGATCAAACAATAATAAATTCTGCAAAAAACAATAAACGCCACATCAGCCATCAAATTGCAGTAGCAAAAAATGTTGATTGCAAAAAAACGCAGATCCCAACGAGTTGGGTTATTAATGTCACATAATTAAATTATCAAATGAACAAAAATAATAAAAACAACAACCACAGAAATTGAGATGGACTTATGGATGGGGTCACTTGGGTTGGATTCGCAACGACAAACAAACCAAACAAAAAAAAAAAAACGCAGACTCTACACTCAAGACGAATGGAAATGAAAAGTTGTGCGAAATAAATCCATGAATAATTAATAAAGCAACCACAACAACAACAGTAACAGAAATGGTGACAAAGCGCAAAATCTCTCAAGCGAATGCATTCACAAGATGCAAATGGTCAAGCTCCAGCTATGATGTTTGTGTATGAGTAAATGATCGACAACACGGCATCGCCTTTGTGGGGTAGCTCGATATGGCGCTGGTGGTGTTGGTGGGCAATGATTTAGCCGCAAAAGCTTTTGAAATAACCACCAGCTGCCTGATTTGTTGTTTTTCTACCGAAATCACTCAATTTTTTGAGTGACTTTGCATTCTCAAAGAAATCAAGAGTTTCGATGATGCTTCGATGAAAAGAGAGCGGCTTGAAACCAATACCATTGCATGTCTTGTTTATTGGTCATCAATGACATTCGAATGTACAGAGTTATTGTTGTTACCGGTTGTTGGGAGAGGGAGAGACAGAGAATGAGAGTACACGACTACTAACTCTTCAAATCTGGCTAAGCAGTTTTAGCGGCCTTAGCGTATTAATGCTCTTAGCCAAAGCGCATTTGGTTCAATACAAGAATGAGAAGACACACACACATATGCACTCACACACACACACACACATGACAGCTGAGCTTCTGGAAGTTTAATAAACTCTTGTTTATTACACTATGCGATAACACCAATACCAATGACCTCCCCCTCACTTCTTACGAGAGATTGCTTTGCCGCTTATCCATCAACTGCCTACCTTCTCCTCCCCTGCTGTTGGACTGTTGATGGCGGCTCGGGTGGTTTGCCTTGTGCTTTGGGGCAACGTTGCAGCCAGCCAGCCACTAGCTATATTGTGCCAAGCAGCCAAATCGCATAATTTTTGGGGCTGACTTGGTTGAGTGCTAGCTGGCTCGATGTGTGAGGTGTTGAAGTTTTAATGGGCAATGTGTGATGGTGTTGGTGTACCAACAGGCTGTGGGCCGTTGTAAGCGCAATTTTTGGCCACTGCTAAATCACTGGCAAAACCAATGTCTGCAGTCATTTGCTTATAGTTACTGAACGCAGTAATAACGTAAAATTTAGCTACCACCGCTAACACCAAGTTGCTCCTGCCGAAAATTAAGCGTGTCGTGTTTGTGATTTTGGTAAAGTTTTACAAGATTTAGTTTTTTTTTCTGTTTCTGATTTTTTTTTCCAAAAACAAAAAGAAAAACATTGAAGTTTTAAAGAAAATGGCTTAAGACAAGCCAAGGCAAACAAAGAAGAGGAATTCGATTTAATTAGCAATTTTTTCATGATTTTCATATTTTTCTTCTTCTTCTCTTTTTTCTTTCCAGTGTTAAAGAAATACAAAAGAAAGAAAAAAAAAATACCAAAAGTCGATTACATGAAATTTGTATTTTTTCTTGGCAAATCCCAAACCGACAACAAGTAAAGCAATCAAGCTCAGAGCCAACTAGTGTAAAGAGAAATCAGCAAATTTTTTGAAAACAAAAAACCCTCCATACGCCTACACATCCCCCCTCACAGACACAATGCAACCACTGAAATGCAGTTTAGCCTTTGTGCTAGCTTTGGGTTTGTTCCATGTTAGCTCAGCCATGCCAGGACGTTATGTGCGAGCCACCGACAGTGATGATGGATCACTGGTAACCCTACAATTTGCCGACAATGAAAGTGATTTGAATCCCATTAATTCGGAGGTAAGTTCAAGATTTGTTTTTTTTTTTTAACAGTTTTTGCGATTTCCTGGTTAACACATATGTCATATGTAAATGTTTGAAGCGAACATTTCGGCAAAACATGTTTCATACTTTACTAACAGTGCATCGAAATTCATAAGAAAAGTGATAATTAATAAGATTTTTTTCTTAATCTATTTGCTGACATTACATTGTGACAGAATAACCCTTGGGGATCAGTGTCACCTTAATTTTTGTATTATTTGATCATTTGAAATGTTGGAAATAATTTCAATGGAAGTGGTCTTTTATTTTCTACAATACATTTCCGGATAAGGATTTCTCTGAATATTGAAGATTCCGTACAAGAAGTATAAGATTTTTAAATTGTCCGAAAATTAATTACCGGGGCTACCCATGTCAAATGGGGAAAAATGGTCTAAAGATTAACCAACAAGACTAAATTGTACAAACACAGCGTCATTCTCTCATGACCAAGTTTTGTTAATAATTGTATAATTATTAAAAATGTCAATTTGTATTTTTTCACAGAATATGATGGTTTTGGCGCCCAAGCAAAATATAATGAAAAAATCAAAATCTTTGACCTTTAAAATTTATATTGTATTATTAAACTAAGTGGCTAAATATGATTGTTATATCAAACGATATTTAGCCCTTTCCTAATTAATTGTTTTTTTGTTTTTTTTTTTTTTTAATTTAAAGCTTTTGAGTTAGTCGATATTAAATTTTAGAGGATGATAACGAATTTGTAAAGCATCCATCAAAATGTGTGGCCTATGTCACTAAAAATATTAGCTAATTTTATTTTTAGAGCACTGAACTTCAAGGTCGTACCAAGCTACAACAGAGTTCTAATTTATCTCAAAGTACCTCGGCATATTTTGAGGCCTTTTACATCGGACATTCATAGTACGCATATCCAAAACCAGCTCCTCAGAGCTCCCAGAGACCTCAATATCAAATTTTAGAATTCAAGCTCAATACCACACCCAATAACAAATTTAGTACTATTTAGTACATTTCATACAATTTAAAAAAAACAACCTCCATATTGGAGAACTCAATAATCCCAGAGACCTCAATACCAAATTTCCTGATTTCAGCTTTATCCCTTCACCCAATGTTCAAATTAGTACCACTTTGTTCATTTAGAATAACCAACACCTCAAAACCACTTCCATATACTAACAGAGACATTGATGTCAAACTTGAGAATTCCAGCCCTATACCTTCACCCAATACCAAATTTAGTACTATTTAGTACTTTCGAACGGTTATAGCACATATTTGCAAAAAAATCTCTTCTTATCTTAACCACAGACAGAAATGGGCACATCTTCAGGATTTCACCTTCCTTCACCCAATACCAAGTTAAGTACTATTTAGTACTTTTCATGAATTTATAGTAGACGTTGCCAAAAACACCTGCATATCTCAATTTCAGATACCAATGGGGACCCCAGTATCAAATTTGAGGATTTGAGCCCGATCCCTTCACCCAATACCATATTTCGTGCCATTTTGTACTTTTCGTACAAATATAGAACGGCCTTTCAAGGCTCTGCCAAATCTCAAACACAGATACCATCAGTAATCTAAATGTCAAATGTCAGAATTTTATCTATGTATTTGATACAAAATATGTATAGTACCATTCCGTACTTTCGTACAATTATCGTACACATTTCCAAAACCACACACATAGTTCACATTTTGCAAAATTGAATACAAAATTTCAGGATTCCGCCTCTATGCCATCACCCAACAGCAAAATTAGTACTATTTTTCTGATTTTCGTACAATTATAGTAGACATTTTTCGTACAAATATAGGACGGATTTCCAAAGCACTGGTAAATCTCAAGCACAGATACCATCAGTAATCTAAATATCAGATTTCAGAATTTTATCTCTATCCCTTCACCAAATACCAAATTTTGTACTTTTCGTACAAATATAGGACAGATTTCCAAACCATTGCCAAATCTCAAACGCAGATACCATCACCATCATAATCTAAATATAAAATTTCAAAATTTTATTTCTGTCCCTTCAACCAATACAAAATTTGGTACCATTTTGTACCTTTCGTATAAATATGGTACACATGTCTGCAATCACATTTCCAGGCTACACATGAGCAGCGAGCCGAATACCAAACTACTATTTGGTACTTTTCGTGCACTTGTAGTACACATTTCTAAAACCACCTCTTTATCACAAACCAAGCAGCAACATGGGACCCCAACACAAAATTTCAGCTTCATTAGTCCACCCGACCAAACTGTTCCTAATTTAGTACAATTAAGTACGGTTCGTACACTAAGTACACATTTCTAAAATACCTTAAAATTCAAATTTCCAAAAATCCTTTGATACATCTATCCTGCACTTTATCAGTGACTCTCATTCCAATGCTCATTCCGTTTGTCCAACACACTATATTATTTTTTTTGGTTTTAGTACTTTTCGTACCCTTTTCGTACGAATTTCCAAAAACCCAGCCTTATTACACTCCTACGCACCAAGACTGACCCTCGTGTAAAAATTGCAAGATTTTAGCTCCAGCCGTTTCGTTTGGTCGTCGATTTTCGATCAGTCAGTCAGTTATTTCACTACACTTTTACATAGGTTAAATATTTGTGTTACGATGTAATAAACAAATTTCCTTAATGTTATGTGTACATACAAGTCTTGTAGAATATCCCGTGTTTATTCAAGTCAAATATATCCTTCATTATTTTTTTTTTTAATTTTTCTATTTTTACTCAGCCACACATTTCCTATTGTACAAATTAAACTTTGTATAATTCCGGTTTTTTTAATTTTATGCTTTTTCTCTCTTTCTATTTTTTTTTTTTGCAAAATTTACCATTTTGCTTGCACATTGTTTGGTTATGTTTATTTTCCTATGTTTTTTGCCACCTATATAAAGGAGTAAAACACAAAAATTGATATTTTTGTGAACAAAGCAAAAGTGAATGTCAGTGATGTAAAGAAGAGGAGTGGGGATATAGTTTAATGGGCCAATGCATTCATTGTTAAATTTTGCCATACGAAAAAGATCACAATAATGAGAGCAGAGCAGCAGCAAAAAAAAAAAAAAAAAACCTAACAGAGTTCATTTATTCGATTTTTGAAAGTAGGTTTTGTAATCGAACGAATTAAGAAGAGGAAAAAAGTAAAATAAAATAAGACAATGAAAAATAGTCAAAAAACAAAATAATGAAAATAAATAAAAACAATGAACAAATAAATGGTCTGCAATTGTTGTTGAAGGCTGTAACCCCTAATACAATTTTGTTGGGTTACTATTTTTGTTTTGGAGATTTTTAATTGGCTATTAAACACAAAGCAGATAATTACCAAAAAAAATTAAATTAAAAAGAATTAATACGAATAATATTTGTTGCGAAGTGGAATTTTTATTTTTGAAAATGTGGAAAATAAATCACTTGGTTATATATGTGAAAATATATATTTCATTAAAGTTTCTGAAATTCTCAGTTAAATATATGTAAAATGTTGTTTTATGTGCACACTTTAAATTCATTATTTTCAAAATTCTGAAAAAAACTAATGTTGGCCCACCTCCAAAAACTGACTACACATAAAAGTACCTCCCGGCTTTCGGCACTTTGTATTTTTTCAGCCTCGGTCTCTAACCGATAGAGCTAAGAGCCTAGTATGCAGACAAGCTTCTTCAGCGAATTTTTCAATTTTGATCCACCTATATCTATACCACCCAGTTTTAAGTATTTTGAAGATATAAATAAAAAAACTGAAATAAAAAAACTGCAACAAAGTCAAATCCCATAATTTTTATTTTTTTTTTAATTTTATGGAATGAAAGCAAAACATGTCGGAGATAGCATCAAATTTTAGAATAAGTTTAGATTGGTTCGAATTGGTCACCTTTGGCACAAATTATGGCCTTCAAGCCGCCAATGAAACCGTCACACGCTGTCCGAATATTGGTCTGCGGTACTTTGGCCCATTCCCGGCGAAGCGCTTGCTTGAGGTGATCGACACTTTGGTATTTTTAGTGAAAACCTTGCTTTCCCAAAAAATCCAGATACAATAGTCCAACGGATTGGTATCCCTAGATTTTGATGGTCATTGTGCGCTGGAAAGCGAGGAACCTCATTTTGTAACCATTATTGGGTGCCGCGTGGTGAGTCCTCTTGGAATGTCCAAGGTCTGCGGCCAAAATGTTTGCGTGCCCAAGGCTTTAATCACCCTCCAGAATATTTTCACGATAATTTTCTGCGTTTATTCTAATACGAGCGGAGAACGACCACCAGCTGTTATTGCGGCCCTCACAATAACCATGGCCGGCGCTTGAGTTCTGGTGGCTAACCGAAGGTGCAAATTTTCAGCTGACCCCATTGGAAAGTAAACACGATCATTTTGTTTGTTTACAAACTGCTGGACAACGAATGTTTTCTCATCGGAGCGGAGACACCCAAATTCGGCAGTTCACCATTTTCGGCCAAGCGTAGCAACTCTTTAGCTCTTTTAAGTCTATTTTCTTTCTGTTGCGGTGTAAGTTCTTGCACTTTTTGGATTTTTAATGGCTTTACCTCGAGCTCATTTTCCAATATTTGCCGACTAGAATATTGCGATATGTGAAGTGAAGCTCATAAAACGCGAAATAAACATCCGATTCCATTCATATTTGACAAATTTCAGCATTTCTATCAATACAAGATTTGTTATAAATATGGTAGAGATCGGACCACTTCTTCTGGTACCTCCCCATCAAAAGGTCAACGTTTTGAATAACCAAAACATTTATAAAATCCGAAATAAGTATCCGGTTCTCTTAACATTTCACACATCACAAAATTTTTATTAACCCAAGAACTACTGTAAAGATGGAATATATCGGTCTATTCCCTCTGGTACCTCCCCCACAGAGGATCAACATTTTGAATACGCATGAAGCCCATAAAACGCAAACGATTCCATTTGGACTTGGCGCATTCCATTATTTCT